GAACCTAAACAGCATGATAAAAAGTAGAGACATCACCCTGCCAACCAAAGTCCGCATGGTCAAAGCAATGGTATTCCCAGTAGCTGTGAGAGTTGGACTATAAGGAAAGCCGAGCGCCAAAGAATAGACTCTTTTGAACTATGGTGCTGGAGAAGACTCTTGAGAGTCCCTTGGATTGCAAGAAGATCAAATCAGTCAATCCTAAAAGAAATCAACCCTGACTGTTCCCTGGAAGGCCAGATAATGAAACTGAAGCTCAAATACTTTGGCCACCAAATGAGAAGGGAGCACTCACTGGAGAAGACCCTGATGCTGGGAAAGATTGAAGGTCAAAGAAGACGGGGACGGCAAAGGATGAGTAGATCAAATCAGTCAATCCTAAAGGAAATCAACCCTGACTGTTCCCTGGAAGGCCAGATAATGAAACTGAAGCTCAAATACTTTGGCCACCAGATGAGAAGGGAGCACTCACTGGAGAAGACCCTGATGCTGGGAAAGATTGAAGGTCAAAGAAGACGGGGACGGCAAAGGATGAGATGGTTAGACAGTGTCATAGATGCAACAAACATGAAATTGAGCAAACTTCAGAGGACGGTGGAAGACAGGAAGGCCTGGCGGGATCTGGTCCATGGAGTTGCGAAGAGTCGGACTCGACTGTGCGACTGAACAACAACAAACATTACTTAACAGTGGAATCCTAAGAATACTTTCTCATTGATTAGTCCTGAGTAGGATTCTCAGCAGACGTTCTTAGGACTGCTGTCTAAGGCTATGCTGCAACTTAGTGGATATGAAACCTAGATAGAGGCTTGTATTGTGAGTGTAAATCGCCACTGGAGGTTCTGTGTTATTGTGTGTATTTTATGGAGCTCATTGAAACTGAAATACAGACGCTGCCCTAATGCCAAAGTCAGTAAGAGAAAGCCCTGGGACAAACTAGTTCCACAGTAAGGCCATGATCCACTCCACCCCCCCACTCAGAGGCAAAAGAAATTTAAAAAGCAAGAAGGAAATATCTTTTAAGACTAGTTGGCAGGCTATCTTCCACACCACTTCATTGGGCCTTGTTTTTCCTGGAGAGAAAGGAGTGGTGAGTGGCAGGTCAAGACAGTGAACAATCTCTTTTCTAAAAGGCCAATTAATATGTAACACTGAAAAATTTGTAAGGCTTCTGACCTGGGAAATGGACCTTGAAACTCCCAGGCTGCTTTTAGAGGTATTTGCATACCTTTGAGCATTGTGTAGGCTCCATTCATATGAAGGGAAGACAGTATGCTGACAGAGATATGCTGTGCACTCCTACACAATCCTTGTTATTGAGGCCACGCCACACAGTATCAGGGCTCGAGACCAGGCTTTGCCCCACTGTAACAGAATCCCCAAATGTAGTGCTTGAGTTTTCCCTCAAAGGAGTGCATGGCAACTGTAGTGTATCCAGCCTGACATGTCCAGACTTGCCCGGACTGGCTCAGGCACAAACACCACTAGCTTCATGCCAAAAGACAATGGGCCAGTAGGATCCTAGCCAGGCCCAATGAAAGAGTTAGGTCCACAGCCGGGAGGCCAATAGGTCTCTCGGTTACTATAAATAGCCAATCGGGAGTGGGGGGGATGTTTGGTGGCGGGTTTTCTGAAGGAATATAAGCCGGCCTGCGAGCCAGCCAAGTGTCTTTGTTCCTGACTAAATAAAGGTATGCTTAGCTGAAATCACTCTCCGTCTGCATACTTTTCTGCAACCATTCACTTGTGTCTCATGGAAACGCCACTGAGAGTGAGGGTTAAACCTGTGCCCCCTGCCCTGGTGAGCAGATAAAGACATAAAGTTGCCATAAACCATTGGTGTATCAAGAACAGTATTGTCTACTCTGACTGGCTGCAGCTTTCCAGGTTGTCACACCAGGTTCTCTCACATCACCTGCTACTTGATCCTTTTACATCGATCAGCTGCGCCAGTGATGGTCCACTCCTGGCCAAACCGAAGAGAGCCCAACTGCCAGACCAGTGCCTCAAGAGGTAGAGGTGGGTGAAACTCCTCAGGTTGCTGAAGCTAAGGAGGTAGCTCCGACCAGACAGAATCCCAGGTGCCTGAACAGGCAAACAGTAGTCCTCAGACTTCTAGTGAGGAGCAGACACCCCCGACAGAGACCCTGCGTCAGTCTCAACGGTCTA